GCCCAGCAAAGAAGGCAGAGAGACCGGGTGACCTGAGCCCACTGCCCGCTCCAGGACTCAGCTCCGCCTCGGTGGCAGCAGAGGGAGACAGCATTTGCTCCGGCCATCCACACCGGGCCTTTCCTGGGTGCCCCAGAAAGGGGGGGCAGAGAGACTCCCCGAAAGACCCCAGGAGCAACCCCCTCAGGAAGGAGCCCCTTCTATGGCTTCTGAAACGTGGGCCTCGTTCTCTGAGGTGCCCGCACCTCAGTATTGAGGTGCCCTCAGTATTAGGGCACCCGGAGCTCAGTACTGGGGTACCCTAAGTATTGGGGTGCCCACGGCTCATTATTGGGGTGCCATCAGTATCAGGGCACCCACAGCTCAGTATTGGGGTACTCTCAGTATCGGGGTACCCACAGCTCAGTATCAGGGTACTCTCAGTATCAGGGTGCCCACAGCTCAGTACTGGGGTACCCTAAGTATCGGGATGCCCGCGGCTCAGTATTGGGGCGCTCTCAGTATTGGGGTGCTCACAGCTCATTATTGGAGTGCCCCCAGTATTGGGGCACCCACAGCTCAGTATTGGGGCGCCCTCAGTATCGGGGCGCCCTCAGTATCAAGGTGCCCACAGACGCGCGATGCTCCCTCCCAGCCACTGACCCCCAGCACTCAGCCCCTTCCCGTGAGCTGCCCTCCTGGGGAGCGTGTGCAGAGCCCCCTAGTCGACATGGGATCACCTCACTGAATCCAGGTGAGGCGAGGGAGAGGCTGTGCTCTGTGGTAGGCCGAGAGGAAACTGAGGCAGCACTGGACTGCGCCACCCTGAACTGGCTCTTCCATTGGCCCATTTCCCAGAGTGGGGGTTCCCATCTCCCGGGGACTGGAAGGATGGGCGGGGCGGGAGCTCGTCCGCACTTCCAGAGGGCACTGAGCGAGTTTCCTTGCTTCAAAAACAGCAGCACCACTTCCGGGGTGCAAGTGGGCCGGACGGATGTCAGGTGGGGGTGGGGGCAGGAGTGCCCCGGGGAGGGGACAGGGCCCCCAGCGGTCATGGGGCTGCCCGGCCACCTTTGGTGGAGGACCAGCCTCCAACTCAGGACCAAGACACAGCAGCCGGGAGGAGCTTCCGGCAAGTGGTGGGGACAGAGAGGAGAGTCCCACACCCCAGAGCTGGGGTCTAAGGGAGACCGGGAGACCCCGTTCCAGAAGGCACAGGCCCACACGGCACCTCCACTCCGGCCGCCTCACTTCAGGTGTTTCTCCCCAACAACACTTGTAAGACAAGCACCTAGTCAGCACCTGCTGTATACTACACACCTGCCGACAGCACTGGTTAGCACCTGCTGTATACAACACACCTGCCCACAGAACTAGTCAGCACCTGCTGTATACAACACACTTGCCGACAGCACTAGTCAGCACTTGCTGCATACAGCACACCAGCTCACAGCACCTAGTCAGCACCTGCTGTATACAACACACCTGCCGACAGCACTAGTTAGCACCTGCTGTATACAACACACCTGCCTACAGAACTAGTCAGCACCTGCTGTATACAACACACCTGCCCACAGCACTAGTCAGCACCTGCTGCATACAGTACTCCTGCCCGCAGCACTAGTTAGCACCTGCTGTATACAACACACCTGCCCACAGAACTAGTCAGCACCTGCTGTATACAACACACTTGCCGACAGCACTAGTCAGCACTTGCTGCATACAACACACCAGCTCACAGCACCTAGTCAGCACCTGCTGTATACAACACACCTGCCGACAGCACTAGTTAGCACCTGCTGTATACAACACACCTGCCTACAGAACTAGTCAGCACCTGCTGTATACAACACACCTGCCGACAGCACTAGTTAGCACCTGCTGTATACAGCACACCTGCATACGGCACCTCGTCAGCTGCTGTATGAGCACACCTACCTGGTCCACTGAGGTGACACACCAGACCGGTGGACAGTAGCCAAGGCCCAGGACAGCAGAGCCAGAGGTCGGAGGGGCACACGGGCTGGGTGCCAAGAGCAGAGGCGCCTCCCTCCGGTGTGCTCAACTGTCTGCGTCTGCCAGGCCCTCGCAGCCCACCCCAGAAACCAGCACTCTGGGTGCCGCCATGCCCAAGCCCTCCTCGCCCCGAAGGCAGCTCACCTCCCTCGCTTGCTCCGGGCCCCTGGAATCTCCGGGTCCCCTTCTCCCCCGCACCAACGCTTCGCTGCTCTCTGTCATCTGCTGCCCAAGCTGGCGGCCCCTGCAGTTCCCAGGAAATGTCCCCCCAGTTCATCTCACCCCCTCCCTGCCCTGGCGCCACCCCCTGCACCTGGGCTCCACCACAGCCCCTTTGCCCACCTGCCCCACAGGCCTCAGCCCCCTCAGAGGCCAGGGGTGGTGCTGCTTTGGGGCGTAGGACCCCACGCGTCCTGTCCAGAAGCAGGACACACCCAGCCCTCCCCACAGGTGCCCGGGCCCGAGGCCTGCCTGCAGCACGGAAACGCTCATCAGGCCGTGCACCCCCGTTTCTGAGTGCCGACTGCTGGCATGAGGCCCCACAGACTCCACAAGCCTCCCGCAGGGCCGGCAAGGGAGGGGACACTAAAGGCTCCCTGGGGGTGGCAGAGACCCGACGGGAACCGACGAGAGCCTCTCCCCCACCGCACGCCCTGCACGCTGACAGCTGGCCGGGTGGGCACGGCCACCCCTCTGCAAGGTGCACAAGGGGGCGGCTGGGAGACGTGGATGGTTTCTTCAGCATGGGGGCCGGTGGCCTGTCACTACCTTCTGCCCCTCCAAGGCTGGGGAAGGCCTGACAGGTGCAAAAGGGCAGGTGTCAAAGGGCAGCTGGGAGGGGCAGCTGGGAGGGGCAGGTGACGAGAGCATCAGCGCAGAGGCCCCCACTGGATGCACAGTGGAGTCCAGGCTGGGGTCCCTGAAATCCACGTCTCCCAGGGGTCTCACGCGCCCCTCACTTCCTCTGCGGTCTCCAGGCAGGTGTGACCCCAGGGACCCCAGAGACCAGCTTCAGGACCTGCTGTCCCCATGGCCCGGGCAGGGGGAGGGGCCAGGGAAGGCAAGGCCAGGCCGGGCACCTCAGGAGCCACATGCAGCCAGGCTGAGGCCGGGCCGAGGGGCAGGAGCGAGGTCCAATGCCACGGCCGCGTGCCCAGCGGGTCTGGGGCGAGGGCACCAGAACCAAGCATTGCTCGTGCACAGGGAGCACCCTTGGAGCAAACCTGGGGGAGCGAGGGGTCCAGGTGAGCGGGGGCTGAGGCAGCGCGGGGAGACCCCCAGAGGCAGCCACCGGGAGCGGCAGCCTGGACAGGGCTGCAGGAGGAGCGGGGGGGCGTGGACAGCTCCTCCGGGCAGTGCCCCCCTCACCCCCAAGGAAAATAAGGAAGCACTTTTCAGAACAGCGGAGCACAGCACAGCAGGTAGGTCCCACTGCTGATACCCACAGACCCCTGCCCTCTCCCCCCCTCCCCAAACACTGTGTACCCGCCCTGTCCAGACGCCCCGAGACCCTGCCCAACCCTGCCCAGACCTGCCCTGCAGGCCCCTCTCCAGCCTCCTGGGAGCTGAAACTTCTCCCAGTGTCCCAAAGTCGCCATCCATCCCTGCATCCTCGGGGATCCCGGCCAGAAAGCCAGAGCAACAAGCAGCCCCCAGTCCTCAAGAAACTTGGGTGGCGGGCGTCTGGGGGCACAGAACTCACACTCCCCCCCCCCCCCTCCAGGACTCCAGACTTCCCCACCGGGCACTGGGAGCTGCCACTCAGGACCACCTTGGTCCCGGGGTCTGGGTGGTGGGGGGGCAGGTCCAGGCCAGGTGCGGAAGTCTCGCTCCCCGTCAAATGACCAAGAAGGGGGGAGTCCAGCAGAGCGCGCGCCGGGATGTGCGCGTCGGGGAGAGTCTCCCGCGGGTCGTGACCTTGAGAAGCACATGCAGCCCGGGGAGACACTGGGGAGCGAGCACCCCGGTGGGGTCCCCCAGCCTGAGACGGCCACTGGGGCTCGGCCTGCAGCCTGCGGAGCCAACGCCGGACCCTGCCAGGCCCCGGCCCCCCAAGACCACAGAGCCTGGGCGAGCGGCACAGAGCCGGGGGGTCTCGCGCACGTGCCGGGCGCCTGGGCGCGCTTCCACCTACCGCGGGGGCCGGGGCCAGAGGCCGGCCGGCGGGGGCTCGCGGAGGGGCCCCGCCACCCGGGCGACCCTAATGGGGGGCGCGGGAGCAGATCTTCGTTGCCGTCGGGGACGCCGCGCTCCCGACCGGTCCCGGGACCGGCTCCGTCTGCCCCACGCGTCCCCCGCGGGCCGGCGCGGGGGGTCCCGGGTCGGCGCGGCGCCCCGTCCTCCTTCCCAGACGCGCGGGGGGCCCCTGGAGACATGCCGGGGAGCACCGCTGGAGGGAGGCAGGGAGGTGGCACCGCGTGGCATCAGCAGACAACAGCACCGGGAGGAACATGGCAGCAGAAAGTAGCGCTGCCAAGAGCCGCTGCCCGAGGTCCAGCGGGAGGCGCGCGGCGCGGCCGGCGGCGGCGGCGGGAGGCGGCCCAGCCCGGCCCCCGCGCCCCGCGCCCCGCGCCCCCGCGCCCCGCGGCCGGCCGGGCAGCCCCCCGGGCAGGGCACGCGCGGGCCGGGCCGGGCCGGGCGGCCTGGGCAGGAGGCACAGGTGCCCCCCGCGCCCGGGCGCCCCTCCCCCGCCGCCCTTCCCCCACCGCGCCCGCTGCGGGTCTCCGGAGTTTCTCCCGCACTTGGCGCTCGCGGGGCCGGGCCGGGGGTCGGGGGCGCGGGCCGGGGGGCGCGGGGGTGTGGTGCGGCGCGGCCGGGCGGCGGGGGGCGCGGGGCCCTGGTCCCCGCGGGGGCGGCGGCGGCGGCGGCCGCGGCGCGAGTTGTCCCCAGGCGCGGGAGGAGCGGGCGGGAGCGCGGCGGGCCCCGGGCGGGGATGCGCAGCGGGGCGCGGGGCGCGGGGCGAGGGCGCGGGCGCGGGCCGGGGGGCGCGGGCCGGGGGCCCTTACCTGGCGGCCCCGCACTCGGGGCCGGGCCGGGCCGGGCGCCGTCCGTCCGTCCGCTCGCCTCGCTCCTCTCCGCAGCGGCCGCGACCGCCGGCGCCGAGCGGAGAGTCTGTGTCCGGCGCCGAGAGCCGAGCGGGGCGCGGGCAGCGCGGGAGGCGCGCGGGCGAGGCGCGGGGCGCCGCCCGGCGGGCAGCGCGGGCACTGCAGCGGCGGGCGCGCCGCCCGGGGGGGCGTCCCTTCGGGGCCCGGCGCGGCCGGCGGCGCCCCCCGAGGCCTCGCCCGGCGCGCCCCGGGCGACGGCCCCGAGGAGGCGCGCGGGCGGCGGGGCCGCGCGGCCGGGCCCGAACTTGCCGCCGGGCCGGGCCGGGCCGGGGCGCGGCGGGGCGCGGCGGGGCGCGCGGGGCCGGGCCGGGGGCGGGTGCGGGCGCTGCGGTGTGGCCGCCTCCCCGGGCACGCGGGCCGCCCGCGCCCCGCACCGCCCTGCGCCAAGGGGCAGCCCACCGCCGCCCCGCGGGTGCCGGCCCGGCCCGCTCCGGCGGGCACACGGCGCCTCCTGGTGGGGCTCCGGGGAAGTGCACCCGGGGCGCGGGGCCGCGTCCCCCGCACGGGCCGCCGCGGGGTGAGGGCCGGGAGCTCGGAGCTGGCGGGCAGGGAGGAGACCGAACTGCACCGCGGAGCTGCGGGGCCCGGTTCTGGGCACAGACGTCTGCGGACGGGCGGACCTGGAGGCACCCAGAGCCCACACGGGGTGGGCTAGAAACCCGCAGGGAAGCCCCCGCCCAACGGGGGGGCCGACGCTCTGGAAGCTGGAACACCCCTGCGGGCTGCCACCCAGCTCTTAGACCTCTGGGGGTGGGGGTGGCAGGGAGGAAGTGGCTCCCCAGCGTCCAGGCGCCCACCCTCCTCCACGCCCTGGACCCCTAAGGACCCGAGTGGCTCCCCTGCTTCTCCCGCCAACCCTTTTGGAGACCTTACCGTGCTCGGGACACCTGCCATCACGTGACTGTCCCTCAGGCACCTTCTCCTGGGAGTCGCCCAAGGGCTGGAGCCCAGCTGGCTTTCCTGGGAACCGTCCAGGCCTTCCCTCCCGGGCACTGACTGGACACTGACTGGACACTGACTGGAGCTCAGCACAGCCTGGAGCCCTGCGGCCTCTGCCTCACCCTCACCCACAGCAGTTCCCGCGGCTGCAGCACACTCCAGTCTTCCGTGGGGGCCTCTAGCTCGAACACAGACGGCTCAGGCACCCCTGTGCATATGTCCATGTACACATAGGTGCATGTACACGCACATGTGTACATATACACCTGCACACATGCATGCCCACACAAGCACACAGATACAAGTCACACGTGCACATGCATTCGTGTTTACCTTTCAGAACTCAGTGACACCTCCCCCCGGGCACGTTTCTCCGGCCTTCCCTCCCCCAGCCCTGCTTGCACTTGCTCCAGCTCGCAGCTCACAGCACTTACCTGCTTCCTGTCCGCCTCACTCGCCTCCGAGCTGCTCTCCTGCATCTGCAGGCCCCTACCCGCGACAGAATCCCTCCTTGTCAGCCCACCTGCCCAGCCTTCCCCCACGTGCCTTTGAAGGCGCATCACGCGTTTGGGAGGGGATCGACTTGCTTTGGCTGCGCTGGGAGCAGAGATGTGGGCTCCAGAGGCAGAAATTATGTCTGACATCTGCAAGGCCCTGCCTGCCTGGGTGGTCCCTGTCCCCCAGTGGGAGTTTTCTCTGAGCACCCCCACCGTGCCGGGCCTGGGGTGTCAGTCCTGGCTGGGGGAGGGACAGCATGGACCACGAGCCTGTGCTTTGGGCGGGTCCATCTGTGGGCGAGATGGGGTAGGGAGGGGGGTCCCCGGTCCCCAGGGTCTGCCTCGGAGCCTCCGAGGCTGAAGGACACAGCAGCCTGAGAATACAGGACGGAGACGCAGCGACAGCACCGCCCCAGGTGGAACGGCAGGAAATTCTCTGGTTCCGTCTTGTCAGCCGTTTCAGGGATAAATCCTTCACTCCGAACGGAGCGTATCTGTGCCTCTAGGAGTTTAGAAGTGTCTTTGAACACTCAAGAACTGATCTTTGGGGCTCGCTCTGGCTGAAGAAGCCGGTAGGCAGGGGTTAGTCCAAGGACACTAAAGCCAAGAGCAGGAGGCCCAGGGCCAGAGTGACCGACAGTGCAGCAGGAAGGGAGTTTGCCTTGCACGTGGCCGATCTGGGTTGGACGCCCGACATCCCGCCAGGAGTGATTCCTGAGTGCAGAGCCAGGAGTAACCCCTGAGCATCACTGGGTGTGGCCCCAAAAGCCAAAACTTTAAAAAAAAAAAAAAGGAGCAGGAGTCCCCACATCCCCATATCCCGTGCAGGGCCAGACCTGTCAGGGTGGATGGAGCTCAGCCGGGGCGCACCGAGTGCACTGGCATAGGGAGGACCACCGAGGTGGCCCCTCTCCCCACTGACCATTCACTTCTCCGGCCCACGGTGATGGCAGATGAAGCAGCAAGACAAGCTGGCAGGCCAAGAGGTGTGAAGCTGAGGAATCAGCGGCACATCTGCCCCAGAAGCCAGGCTCTATCGTGTTGGCAGCCCAGAGCACGGGGCTGCCTCATCAGTGTGGCCACCTGGGCAGCAGGGCTGAGTGGCCGCTCCCACATGGCCCCAGGTAGCTGCGATCCGCAGCTGGGCCAGGGAGCAGTTTGAATAGTGGCGAATTCCGACTAAAGGACTCCAGGATATTTCAAAAGCTCTTGAAAGTAAAACCAACAACTAGTAGGTGCATGTGTTTCTCCATGGACAGATGCAGATTGCACATGTGTGCATGTATGTGAAGGTAGCCCAGCTCTCCGTCCTGACATGCATCTATTTCAACCTAATGTTTGTCGGCTGCTCTCTTTCAGCTCAATAAAACAATGATTCACAGAGCAGCTATCTGCCAGGGAGGGTATTAGGGACTATAGGGACAGGAAGAAAAATTGGACACGGTTTCTACTTTCCAAAAGTTTATATGCTGGTGCATTTTATTTCCCTCCTAAAGGAAAAGCTTTAAATTGTATCTCATGGCAATTTCCAGGCGCTTGGCCTCTGTCACGGAATTGGGAATCACAGAGGAGCCAGGTAACAGGATTTCTATTCACCTGGCAGATTTCTGAAGAATCTGAGCGAAATGAAGGCCGGGATGCATTCAAGAATGGGACTGCAGAGCGGCTTACACCCAGGCATGATATACGAGGAGGCACGCTTTACCAGACGGCATCTGTAGTGAGTGCTTTCACTTGGGTACCAGGTGGTTTGACAATCTTCTTTTCCATTCCTGTTCTCAGATTCCAACATACGTCTGAGTTTAGAAGATTCCAGCTACCCTGATTCAAAAGACAGTAAGACAGTGATGTGGGGGCCGTGGCTTTCCTGGTGCTGAAACCAGGAGCAATGGACACCGGTTCGAGGCTGATCTGAAACTCAGTGAGAAACACATAGGAGTGGGGGAGGAGGACTGAGTGCCTAAGCACTAAGTCTAGTCCCCCCCCCCCCACCCGCAGTGCCTAAGCCCAGCACAGGGGCAGTGACGGGGTCAGCCGAGCACTGCCCAGCACACACTCCCCCCGCTGGAGAGGGGCAGAATGAGTCATCTCCCGTGTCCACAGTCCTGGGCATCCTAGGCCCAAACTCCAGCCTCCGGAGAAATGCCAGTCACTGCTAGGAGCACAAACTTGCCTTGCGTGGGGAGAGGGGACTTTCCCTGTAGAGGGGGGAGCACTGCAGTGCAGTGAAGGGTCTAGCTTCTGGAAAATGCAATGGTAGCATAAATGTGCTGCCGCAGTCACCCTCGAGCATTGGCGGGAACAGCCCTGTTTAAAGAAAGGTGCTACAGCAGAAACACCATCTGCATTCCTGTGTTCACTGAAACATTCTTCACAATCGCCAGAATCTGGAAACAACCCACGGGCCCGAGAACAGATGGATGGATAAAAAAACTATGGTACATCTACACAATGGAATACTATGCAGCTGTTAGAAAAGATGAAGTCATGAGATCTGCCTATAAATGGGTGGACATGGGGAGTATCATGCTGAGCGAAATGAGTTAGGAGGGACAGATATAGAATGACTGCATTCATTTGTGGTATATAAAAATGTATAGTAACAGATTAATAAATAATAATAATAATACATATTTTAATCTGTTAAAATTAAGGGAAAACAGGGGCAGGGAGAACTGGTCAATGGTTGGAATTTACCACAAGCATGTGTGGGGCGGAAGGTAGGTACGATAGAGAAGAGACCAATATGACAATAATAGCCAGGAATGACCACTCTGGACAAGAACTGAGTGCTAGAAGTAGGTGAAGGGATATTCTTGATAACCTTTCAGTATCAATAGTGCAATCCACAACAATGCCCAAAAGGAGAGAGAGAGAGAGAGAGAGAGAGAGAGAGAGAGAGAGAGAGAGAGAGAGAGAGAGAGTCTACCATAGAGGCAGGCTGAGGGGGGTGATGGGAAGGAACCTGGGGACACTGGTGCTGGGAAACGCACGCTGGTGGAGGGATGAGTGTTGGAATACTGTATGACTGAAACCCAATCATGAACAGTTTTGTAAGGGTCTATCTCACAGTGATTCAATTTTTTTTGCTTTTTGGGTCACACCCGGCGATGCACAGGGGTTACTCCTGGCTCTGCACTCAGGAATCACTCCTGGCGGTGCTCAGGGGACCATATGGGATGCTGGGAATCAAACCCGGGTTGGCTGCATGCAAGGCAAACGCCCTACCCACTGTGCTATCGCTCCAGCCCCAGTGATTCAATTTTTTAAAAAAAGAAGTTGCCGGAGAGCCTAGAAATGCAATTAGTATTTAAGTACATACACAAAGACATTATGAAAGGAAAGAAAGAAAGAGAAAGAAAGAGAGAGAGAGGAAGAGGGAGGGAGGGAGGAAGAAAGGAAAGAAGGAAGGAAGGAGCTAATATTGGCATGAGAAAACAGCTCCAGCATCATATTTTTGCCATCACTCTTTGCTATTCTGGGAGGATGTTGGGTCA